GAGACTCAGGAGAATTGGAAATTGAAAAACAAGAACCTAGGGGCCGGGCGCGAGCCCACGCCTGTCATCATGGCACTCTGTGAGGCGGACAGGGAGGATCGCTCGAGGCGGAGTTCGAGCCGCTGGAGCAAGAGCGAGACCCCGTCTCGAAAATCAGAAAGAACATTAATATTGGACGAGTAAAAATATACACAGAAAAATCACGCAGTTGCTGGAGGCCCACGCCGACGCCTGTCGTCCCAGCTACTCAGGAGGCCGAGGAGGGAGGATCGCTCGAGGTCGGGAGGTCGAGCCCAGCCCCAGCAAGAGCGAGACCCCGTCTGTACTAAAAACAGAAAGACGTTAGTTGGCCAAATAAAAATATAAAATAAAACGAAGTACAAAAACCCACTGCGGGATCTGGAGGTCCCACCAAGGACGCTCTCTGGGCGAGGTCCCACCCTCTGCACGCCGGCGCCCCCACCCGGCCCTTCCAGAACATTCCAGAAGGCGCACCCAGAGCATGCCCTGAATGAACGGCGCCCAGCGCCTCATTCTGCACAGCGGGAAACCCAGGCCTCGAGGGGTTCGGGGCCACGTCCTGGGGACGGGAAGCCCGAGAGTGGCATCCAGGCGGGTCCGAGAACCGGGCAGGGGACAGAGGACAGGGACCGGCAGGAGGCGGCCACACACAGCTTTGGGACTAGGCAGGACGGCTCGGCGGCCTGCTGCCCGAATGCTCAGACTACAGCCACGGGGCTTGCTGGGGACCAGGACACACGGCCACAAGGCGGGCGGGGCTAGCCGGCACCCGAGCCCAGCCTGAAGCCAATTCCCAGCCAGTCCCCTAACACAACCCTCACCCTACCCCGGACCCAACCTTAACCTGAATCCAACCCCTAACCCAACCCCTAACCCTAACACAACCCTCACCCTACCCCGGACCCAACCTTAACCTGAATCCAACCCCTAACCCAACCCCGACCCCAACCCCTAACCCTAACCCTAACCCTAACCCTAACACAACCCTCACCCTACCCCGGACCCAACCCTAACCTGAATCCAACCCCTAACCCAACCCCGACCCCAACCCCTAACCCTAACCCTAACCCTAACCCAACCCCGACCACAACCCCTAACCCTAACCCTTAACCTGAATCCAACCCCGACCTCAACCCCTAACCCTAACCCTCATACTACCCCGGACCCAACCTTAACCTGAATCCAACCCCTAACCCAACCCCAACCCCAACTCCAACCTTAACCCAACCCCTAACCCTACCAATACCAACCTTAACCTCAACCTTAACCTGAATCCAACCCCTAACCCTAACCCAACCCCGACCCCAACCCCTAACCCTAACACAACCCTCACCCTACCACGGACCCAACCTTAACCTGAATCCAACCCCTAACACAACCCCGACCCCAACCCCAACCTTATCCCAACCCCTAACCCTACCAATACCAACCTTAACCTCAACCTTAACCCTAACCCAACCCTGACCCCAACCCCTAACCCTAACCCTACCCCAGACCCAACCTTAACCTGAATCCAACCCCTAACCCAACCCCGACCCCAACCCCAACCTTAACCCAACCCCTAACCCTACCAATACCAACCCCTAACCCAACCCCGACCTCAACCCCATCCTTAACCCAACCCCTAACCCTACCAATACCAACCTTAACCTCAACCTTAACCCGAATCCAACCCCTAACCCTAACCCAACCCCGACCCCAACCCCTAACCCTAACACAACCCTAACGCTGGCCCAACAAAGACCCCACTTTAACCCAAACCCCAGTGCGAACCTTAACCCAACCCCTAACCCTAACACAACCCTCACCCTACCAATACCAACCTTAACCGCAAACTTAACCTTAATCCAACCCCTAACCCAAACCCTAACCCCAACCCCACCTTAACCCTAACCCTAACCTTAATCCAACCCCTAACCCAAACCCGACCCCAACCCCGACCTTAACCCAACCCCAACCCTAACCCTAACCCGACCCAGACCCCGACCTTGACCCCACCCCGCCCGCCCGCGACCCGCGCCCCGCTCTCCGGCGGCTCTGGAACCCGCGGCCACAACGGCCGGCGCGGCGCTCGACCTGCGGGACGCCGGCGACTCGGGCACGCGGGGTCGGGGTCGCCCCAACCCCACCTCAACCTTAACCCCAACCCCGACCTCTAACCCCCACGCGACCCCGCGACCCCGGCAGCCC